TTGCTGAAAAGTAATTAGTAGGATGGGTGAAGTGAAAATCAGATAATATGACTAAGATTAGAATTATAAATTATAATGTTGATGGAATTGAGGTTCGGAAAATGTTTTAAGTGGAGGAAAAGAAAGGTTTTGAAACATGTAATGATATCTTAGTAGAAAGCAAGGGTAGATTTAAAGGTTCTATAAGCTTTTTCTATATACAAAGGTTAGGTTTTTGATATGTATACCTATAGCTTCTGCGACATGTGAGAGTCAGATTCTGGAACCATAGGGTAAATTCGGTGAGATTTTATAAATACCTTTGAACGCTGAAGTTCTATCATTTTGGTGAGGAGTATTGACTTGATGCGCCAAGATAGAGCTTCTTATTACATTCTTTCGTCCTCTCGTCAATCATGAAGGACGATGTCGAGACAAACGATGATGCATTTGTCTAGTTGTACTTCACGGTAGAATTTGGAATTGTAAATATACATAGAAGCAGAAAAACGAAGCAATTCAACTCTATTTCATGAAATCACTATTGACTGGTTGAGGAAAGTAGGATATAATCATGCCTCACTGAATGTAAGTTCTAAGGCCTTTTGTATGAGCTGAGTAATTATTTTGCTGGATATATCACCTTTGAACTGCAATTTCAAGAATATACGCTTTTTTGGTACTGTCAACGATTTTACTTTAGGTTTATTTACAGACATACGTTTCGTTAAGAACTTTGATGGGTATCTTTGCTTACGTAATAAATCCTGAATAGGTTTTAGTTCCTCTCTAAGAAAATTCTCAGAACAAATAATTTTAGCTCTATTGGCCGGATATTTGACTAAGTTTCTTTTATATTGTAATAGGAAAGGGCTAGAAAAATGTGTACATTAGATTTATGTAGTCGGTTTACGATGAACACCTCTTCTCATGGGTTCATCGGTTTTCTCGTCAATAGGACATCTAGAAAGGATGTGGTGTCGTACTTTTACTCTCCCATTGTTGAGATTGCTTGGTAGACTCTATTAAATGTTTCTGGGAGGCTGTGAGCTTTAGTGTTGTTTTTTGTAAATATAAATGTATCATTCACAATAAAATTCTGGTTTCCCTATTACTCTTTTTAGAGGATCGTTTTATAATTTTTCCAGAATGAAATGAGCGAGGACCAGACCGGATGTTAATCCCATAGCGACACCATCTCATTGTCTGTAGAGCTCTTTAGTGAATAACAATTGTTTATTGATATTACATTTGAGTATTGATTACTTTAAAGAGGAGACCGGAATGCCGATTCCCACTTCTCGATTTTGTAACTCACTACATATGAAATCAACCGTTTCTATGATAGGCACGTTTGTAAATGGTGATACATCAAGCGATATAATGAATTTCTTGTCCATCTTCAAGTCTCTTATTCTACCAACAAATCCAAAACTACCTTTTTCACTATGCTTTACGACTTCGTGTGGAGGCTTAAGAAGTTCAACGAGCCATTTTGTGGTTGCATAATAAAGTGAGTTGATCATATTTAGGACTAAGTGAAGCGCTAAACCATTTTCTCGTACTTTCAGTTGACCATAAAATGTCGATGTTGCCGTACCCGTGTTTTTAAGTATTGTATATAAATTTGTTTCAGATCATTTAATGATTAAGACAACTGTCGTTCCGTTTTTTTCTTTGGGGTCGTTCTTAGAAGACGATTTCTGAGATTTGCTATGGTTACTGAGTATTGTATTCATTTTATTTATGTAGACTGTTTTATCCTGATCCTTTGTCATGTTTAGTAAGCACTAGGTTTTTAATTGTTATTAGTTTATTCAGAGATTCTTTGTACCGTTGAGTCAGAATATTCTATGTACTGTGTTTACAGTTGATGTTTTATAGGAATAGTCTACTAAAATAGACTTTAGTCTTTCTAGGTGGAAAAACATAGATAAAATTATAATTATACAACTTTATGATCAGGACCAACGAAAACGAGCTTCTCACTACATATACATAATTTCATGTTCATTATAAACCATGGACTATACAAGATTCTTATTTATTAATTAAAATTATTGGGCAAGTCGTTGACCATGAAAATTGTATCAGTTTATTTTTAAACACATCTATGTTATTTTTTCAGTGAGGCTGTGCTTTATCGCCTAACGACCTTTAGATCCTGACCTCTTTAACAAATTAGGAGGAAGGGAACATAGATCTGTGATTTACTCTATTAAGACTTAAAATAGAAATATGAAGTTTAGGGTAAATGCATCATAACTGATGTCAGTTCCTGATGAAAGTTCTAAACATAACTACTTACTCTAACTTTTAACATTGACAAAAGTGTGATATCTAACATTTTCAGTGAGTCATAGATGCAAATATCAGTTTACTTTTTTACTAGAAACTTCATTTTAATTATTTAATGTCATCTACATTTATCTTCTATGAGCACACTACAGTGCATAGCAACTTGCCAAATGATGAAAAGCAAAAAACATGAAATTTAAAACTTGAAATTTTATCTTTGAGAAGTACGTTTTCTTATACGGTATTTACTAATTAGTTGAACAGGACGATGTTAGAATTTGTACATTCATTGAACGATGTGAAGCAGATGCACTACGAATTCACAGATACATATCCTATTCCGATTAGATTTTAACCTTATATTAATGTATGTATCGTGGTTTTAAGGCAGTTTAGACGTTTACCATCAGCTTGAGGGGGGGTACAATAATGCTTTAGCTATTACCATTTTTTATTATTTTACTAGAGAAGTAAAAAATAAACTGTAAGAATAAACAATAATACGTTATTTTAAATTAAAGCTAATATTATTTAAAATTAAAATGATTTATGATTAATAAAGTTATTTGGACATATTTCCATATAAAACTAATGACTAATTACTTTTATTTTAATAGTTGAATCCATGAGTTGATCTAAGATAGGCTGTTTCGTCCTAGTATGGTACTCCTCAACAGTGCCCATCTACGATCCTTCAAGTGGGACTCGAATTTTAATTACATGAACATAATGACCAATGTATTATGAAAGTATAAAATCTTCAGGTTTTATAATGCAATTACCGTTTATTAAACTATCTGAATTTATTTTATAAAAAGTACCATTTACATTTTTGCTGTGATATACTTCAGTATACATTTTGATGTCATGCACATTGTTATCACTGAAGAGGACTGCTATAAACCCTATCGTTGTATTCAAAAAGAGTCTGTGGTTAATCCATAACTGTCTTGGTAACAAAGAGAAGTTAAACATTTGATCCTTTCTTCTTTTTCTTCTTCTTCTTCATCTTCTACTATTTTTCCAATTAACTGTAGTTACAGTTTAGTGAGTTAAATATATATGACCTGTTTATCTTTATGGAATATTTGTTATATTATTCAATAATATAAGGTAAAATATTACTTCAAATAATTACTGAAAACCTGTTAAAAAAACTAATTTCAAACAACCCATTTGTTATTAGCAATTTTCAAATCGGAGAGAAATTTTTCAGCTTGAGTATAGTTGAAGAGAAAGCAATGAAATTACAGAAACTCAAGTGCAATTGAGTTTGTTCTCATTTAACTTAGTTAAGCCCTTTTGTTAACTTATTTAGCGGACAAAGTCATCCGTACTATAACAACTTATTGTTATGCTTGTATGAAATATGTATGCTCGAACATTGTTTACCGCCCACACATATATTCATTCTGCAAGCTTTATTATTAACTGCTTAATTGATTCGATGATCTATTCATTTCCCCATATATATACATGTACATTTAACACTACTCTCTCGGTTCGCTGACTCACTCATTCGCCTCACTGCTTTGTGGTCTAAGTTATCTGCTAATAAAACTGTAGTCGCTGCTTCTCTTTGCCTTTTGATTTCAAACACCGTTGAGGGTTATATGGTAACGGTTACGAGGGTGATTAGTTAACGAAGCACAGTCATTACAAAATATAGTGTATTCACCATATTTTGCGAATATTATCATTCTTGAATTGCTCAAAAAATAGAACTCATTTAATTATTTTTAAAATATCACTGAGAACATATTGATAGTTAGAAATATTGGAAATAAAATAATTTCATAAAACGTCCAGTTATACAATCTTAAACCACTAATCTTTCATAGATTAGTTTTCTTTGAAATGCTTCCTTGAAAGAGAAGAAAGAAACCACAATTAATTTCATAGTGATAACATTATTACAAATTTGTCTGTATTATATTTATCCTTTCATATTGTACAAATATGATAATCACGTGATACATTTTGTCATTAAACAGGTCAATTTCTAGTAAAATCTAAACTACCTATAATAAACGTATTTTGTTTATATTTATCTATCTATCTATCCAGTGAATTTAATGTATGTATATATTTCTTATCATTGTCCATCTTTACCCTTATATAATATGTATATATATATATATATATATATATATATATATATAATCTGGTTGTCAAATGTAAAACATTATGGGATTGTATATATGTAATGTACCGTAATCCATTTTATTATTATTATTATTCATAAATGATTGGTTCATAACTGGTTAATTATTAATTAACTTTTCATCAATAATAAAATTTCATCTTAAATATCATAACACTGAATATACGAGTAGTATAGTACTATTGAAATTCATTTAACTGACATAGGTGTCAACTATATCATATAAATAAATACATATATATATATATATTTTGTTTTAAACAAAATGAAGTCAATTTATACTATAGATATAATGAATTTCACATCATTTTTTTGCATAGTGATTATCAAGTAATATATTCAATATAAAACTTTACATAGTTTCAATTTTCAACAAAAAAAAACAAAAAACAACAACAAATAAAGAAAAAAGAAAAACAGGACAGAAAAAAAAAGACAAACGAACTAATTCTATTATCATTTTAACTATTATTAATATTCATAATTAATTAATAAAAAAATGTATTTAGATATTTTCATGTGGCAACCACAAAGAAAAAGGTATCAATAATTCAATTTCATGCAATTCATTGAATTATCTAATTCATTTTGGAGTTTATTTAAATTGAGAAAAATTAGTTTTCTATTAATCAATTTAATTTTATTTAATTATGAAGAGAGTTTAGGATCAGGATATAATATATCAATGAAATATTATCATCCATATTCTAGATGGGTAAGTTATAAATGTTATTATCATTATTATTACATGTATTTTGTTGTTGTTTTGTTTTTCTTTAAGATTAAATGAAGTTATTTTGTTTTTAAGTGAATGAATCGGTGAGACTATCATTTATGAACAAATCAATGAGGTATAAAATGATAGGTCTTGGATTTTAGTGGGAAATTCATCTATTCATTTGGCTAAATAGATTCATGGTATTATAACTGATGTCAGTTCATGATGAAAACTTTAAATCTAATTGTTAATCTTAACCATCAATTGTAAATCATAATTCTAATTTCTCACACTGGTTTATAACCATCATTTGGTTCTAGTTGTTAGGTGGACACTGTCAACGTCAATTTAGCAACGCTCAAAGGTCGTTCGTAAATTATAGTCTCATCAATGAATCTTTTATGGAAGTACTTTCAAGATTTTTATAATTTAAATGAGTAGGTGTTGAAACTCATTTACCCCTTTATTTTTCTATAATAAATGTATATTTGCAATGAAAACTATCTTCAAATTTTGTTGTTGTTGTTGTTGGTATGGTTGTTTTTCATCCAGTATATGGTTTTTTTTCTTTAATTTATTGAAGATTTCTGACGAGGAATCTTCTCTCTTTCCTATATCCATCATAATAATTTAGAGATTTGTTTAATTTGATTTTTCCTTATTGAAACAGTTTTAAATCCCCCCCCACAATAAAAGAGAACAAAACAAAACAACGAAATTCATTTTATAATGAAGAAAACAAAAACATAACTTTCAGTGATAAATAGTAATGAATGAATATTATAGAATGTTTATTTCAGAGTAGATGTTTTGTGAATATGATAGTAATGTTTGTAATAGTTGAATTCATAAGTCAATTACAACTAGGTTTTCCAAGTTTTCTATGATGATCTAGCTTTAATTAACTCATGATATAAACTAAGAAAATGTTTGATTATCAAATGGTGCTGGACAGAGGAATTCTCCGTTACTTCAGTAATATTCATTTCCATTTTTAACTTATTGTAATTTTATTTTATTGTATATACTTTTACTCCGAAGACGAAGTAGTAATAGTAGTAGTATATTTAGCTATGTAAGATGTATTCATTAGTGTTATGTTGTGATATTTTTCCAGTTACATAGAAGTATTACAAATAAGTAACTATTGAAGGATTGGTAAGTATTACATAATATTAATTTATCTATAAGTTCTTTATAACCAGAGCCAGAAACATTTGGTAAACAATGAAAGTTTAGTAAACCATATATATATATATATATATATATATATATATATATATATATATATATATATATATATATATATATATATAAACGGTATGGTAAATAGGGAATATCTAAAATATGTTTCTGCTACACAGTATGATAAGAAGATATTTGCTAGTCAAAGTCTAGTATTGAGAAGTGTAAGATTGAAGATCATTTAAACAAAGTCTAACTGTACATAAAAGTGTTCAGCACGAAATTAGATTTATTGGTTACTTTAAAAATATATCTGAAAAAAAAACAGAATTATTCTTCAACACAAAAGCCAAGTTTATCCTCGTTAGTTATTATGCTTGTTATAAACTGATCAATGATTATTTGTTGCATAAATATAATGCTGTACATTTTGTAATTGATATGCGATACAAATCACTATTGTTTTATTCATGTATGTGTAGAATCTTTGGGATGTATTCGAACAAACCTTTAGATGTCCATTTTCTCATTTTTAAACAAAGTTGCTTGACATGTACATATTAGTTAATGAATTTACAATTATATGTAACTGTTACTTGCTTGTTTTCATTTGTATAATTAAATCGTAGTTCATAATGATATAAGGCTATGCTTAACCTATTGAGTATAATGTTGTCTATAAGTTTTAACAGTTAACCACCTGTATTTCAGCTTAGTACTTAGGTTTATTATCTGAATACAGGTTGTATACTGAATTTGACACATTCTTGAATCAGTAATATCCTAGCATTGTTCAAATTTATTCCAAAATACAAACATATAAAATTGTAGTCAAACATATTTGGAAGAAATATGTCGGGTACTTTCATTGTTCTTAATTTATTCACGATGAACGTTATATACTATGTATAGCATTGAGAAAAGTTTGGGTAATTTTAACAATTAATTCTATCATAACAAGAATAGTCAATGAAAAAAAACTCTTTCAATTAAATAGGATTGAACCAGAATGCTTGTCAGATAACAGTATTAAACAATGAGAACTGTAGCTGATTTGTCATAATATCTTAATGTCATGAAAATTTGGATTGAATCATTGGAATATATTGAGGAAGTTTTAAAAAAGTTTAAAATATAATTTATTATCAGTCTAATGCTGATTGTCAGTTCAGAATAAGCAGACAGTTTCATAAGATCGTATTGGAAATTTGAAACCTTTTTACGATCCGGTCAACATTTAAGTTACATATCATACTAACTTATTGGAAAACACTGACTTCTTTCAGATCAGTTTCCTAATGCTTTTTTGTGATTAGTTAAAGCAATATTAGTATTTTCCACTTTCAAAGGTTATCTAGTTGTGTTCCACTCATAGTAGTATCCATAGTATCAAGTAACAAACTGACATGTGTAATTCATTTCACTTATTTAAGATATCCTGGTTTCAGTTTTGAAAGCATTTGTATATAAGTTATTATTAAGAAAGTTTACATTTGATAGAACAATTATGATTTTGAGACAATCCTAAAAGATTATAACATTCTTCTCGAGACCTGAAAATTCTACATATGATTCCTTTGTCAGCTTTTTACTATGATCTATGACTAAGCTAATGAACAACAGCTCTCCAAATGATACATGCTTCTTTTAAAATCTCATTTAAAGTAACAAAATTCCTTAATTTATTCTTTTTCCAAAGTTTTCTTATCCAAATATTTGATTTACCCTCAAATTTTTGATAATTCAATGTTTTAAAATAATTACTTGGTAACTATTTTGTTAATATCAACTTTTTATTCTATGATAGTTATGTTGATCTATTCAGTTTTTTCTGCCTTAGATACTTAAAAACTGGGTTTTAATAAACATCATACATCATCAGTAGATTGAATCATTCAACAGAAACAGTAAACAATAGATTTTAAATAAATAATGATTAGAAACCACTTGTTTCAAATAGGATCTCTGTAATGTCAACTTTTGATTATTAATATTCATGGACATCAGGCTAAACATAGCTATTAGTACTGGGGATAATTTTTTTCAGATATTTGCGAACTGAACGGTTTTTAAAAAAAAATTCTAATCCACCTTTACTATTTTGAAATAGACCTAGAAAGATAGCCTAAATTATAAAATTGGTTTAACATATATGCTAACTATTATGTTTAATGATAGGGAGAATTTATAATCATTTATTTGATGCAGGAAAAGGTAGGAAGATTCGAACTTTACACAGTTTTAAATTCGTTTGCGCTATCAGGATGGTAGATTTTGAAAAAAATACTTCATTAGTTCAACGTTTCAGCAGACTATCAATGGATTGATCCATACAATTGCTTGAAGCTGACATTCCTTCCATATAATTATGGACGATGTGATATGCTCAGTTAGCTGATTATTAGTAATTCTATTTTCATATATATATATATATATATATATATATATATATATATATATATATATCATAATATGATCGATTTATTAAAATCACATCTAGCTTAACTCTATAATGTCTAATACTGAGAAAACTCTCGTTACTTTAGAAATGTAGTAAAAAATAGAGTTAGTATTAGGAAAACAGTAAACACGTTATAGATACATTTTTTGAAAGAAATTTCTAGCTAATTCTTATTGTGATTAACATTTTAAAGGTAACCCCATTTAAGGATCTATAAAATCTTTCCAAATGTTGAAATTAAAAGATAACGAAAAGTGAATATAATGACCTACAATAATGTGTTTAAGATGTATGTGACAATAGAGAGTGAACACTCCCTGTAACAGTGAATGTTTACCTGTGTCATCTTGAGATATTAAATAATAATGACATTCGAAATTGTATGGTTTTGTTTTGTTTTTGATTTTAAAATCGATTTATGAATAGTAATTTTTATGGTGTCGCCTTTATGCTTTCCCAAATATTATTTCATGCACTTCCCACTTCAGTTTGTGGGAAGGCGGTGTAGTTCATCAAATGACCTTGATCTTGGATCTGAAAGTTATTATTTTTGATCTTACCTCTCTCTAATTAGTTTTGTTGATATGATAAAATCTCAATGAACAAGTGTTTCAGTTATTATTACCAATCTTGGCCAACTGGTCAAAGTTGCAGCTATAGTAATGATGTGAAATGTGATTAAGTCATCAACGTACATTTTTACCATGCATTACATTGTTTATAAGTCACTAACTGACGTCATATATTCAATTCTCAGATCAGCATTTGAAATGTAACTTATTAGCTAACATAACTCTCATAGTTTTTTGTTCGGGTATTAAAATTGAAACATAATACTCAATGTTATGAAGTTAGGAACTGAAATACAGGGCTGATAATAAATTACTAAAAGATATATGTCCTACAAAAAGTTGGCATTTCCGTACTAGTTGGGTATGTTCTGACAAACATCTAAAAGAAAAAAGACAATTATCTGATAATCTATCAACTACATTTTAAAATATAAAAAAAGAAAACTAAATTTCTATTCTAAAACTCTTATCATAGATCCAAGTATAGATCTAATTTTAAAATGAAGTACAAACATGTTTCCATTGTGAATTGTATACAAAAAAAACACTCTGGTTTTATGTTCTCAATATGATAATTTAGGTTAAAACATTTTTATTTAATAATGCTCAACATAAATAAATCCTTACTTTTTTTACATGAGTATAGTGTAAGTAGACTTAATCTCTATTATTGTATTCTTTAGTTGTAATTGATTGTAATTCATTTATTGTATGTGTTTGTGTGTATGAAATAGTAACAGAGAGAGGGCGAGAAAAAGAAGGATACATAGAGAAACAAA